TGATTCTGATGACTTTATCAATGCCCTGCGGTGGGACACTTTATTCGAAGATCTCGATGCTGATGATTTCAACAGAGGAGGAGAGGACTGGTTGCGAGCCCTAGATTCGGATGCAGAAGGTGACGAAGAGCTCATTCTCCAAGATGGAAATGATGATGAATCTGTGGACGACATTGCTTCAGTCGCCAGTGACGAGAGTGGTGACGATCTTGCGAATGAAGATGATGATGTGCCTGTGGACTTTGATCTGACTAGTGAAGACTTGGATAACCTCCGCGCAGGAGGCTGGGACGTCTACATGGAGCAGCAGTCTTGTCAAGTACTGCGGGAGGGCTCTTCTCTCTACGAAGGTCCGTCTGGTCCAACTCGCGCTGCATTAGCTTACGCTGAAAACCCATTGGCGATCTTCTATTTCTTCTTGCCGAAGGAGCGGTGGCGAAAAATCGCAAATGAAACGAACAAGTTTCGCCGAGGCAGTGCGGAATCTATCGCCCAGCAGATGCGAGCACGTGCCCTTCTCCGTCGTGAGACCGTTCCGTCGACTGCTGTACTCACTACCGAGGATTACAGAAGAAAGTTGGAACGCAAGAGCTCAATACAGCCCCATGAGATTGTTCGCTTTATTGGACTACTTGTCGCGAGAACGCTGGAGCCGCGCCGAGAGAGTCTCAGTCGTCATTGGATTACGAAGGCTGAGGGTGCACTATCCCGCGGTACATTCGGACAGTTCATGAGTCGGGATCGTTTCCACGACATTGCTCGCTACTTGCATTTCAACGACAATGCCCGGCAGCACGACAGTGCGGATCGTGCGTTCAAGATCCGTCCTGTTATTCAAGCTTTGCAGAAGACATTCTTCCGCGGATATCGGCTCGGTGCGCGAATTTCGTTCGACGAGGGGATGGTGCCAATGCGTCACCGCCGCAATCCAATGCGCCAGTACATGTCCAACAAGCCGAACAAGTGGGGTACGAAGTTCTACATGACGTGCTGCGCGGACACCGCGTATTGCTTGAGGTATGTTGTACGTTTATTACGGATATCCGGCACTTGTGGCGGATATCCGTGGTAGTTTTGGTTCAGTGCATCCATAATGTGTTCCGCACTATCCATATTGTATTCGCCTTATCGCTGACAATATGGTGTGTTTGTATGTGTAGACTGGAAATTTACTGCGGGAAAGCGAACGCTAACGAAGACGCTGTGGCGCAGCGAGCTGTGGTGAAGAATGTGACGCGCGTACTACAAGGACAGCCTTCTCAGAGGCTTATTTGTACAGACAATTTCTATACGTCAATCCCGTTATCGGACAAACACCTCAGTATGGGCCACTACCACGTCGGGACCATAAGCAAGGACCGGAAAGGGTGGTGTAAAGCTATTGACTTTACGCAGAAAAAGAGACCGAAGAAAATGGCCAGAGGAACTTACCGAATAGCTGTATGGAGAGATCGCCCCGAGTTCGTAGCTCTGTCGTGGTATGGACAGCAAGCCAGTTACATTTTTAGCGACTGGTTGCTCCACCCAAATTACTCACGTCACCCGTAGAGAGCCCGGCGGATCGATCTCCCAAGTCCCATGCCCTCAGCTGGTTCGAGATTACCATGAAGCGATGGGAGGTGTGGACGTTCATGATCAACTACGCCTTCAACGGTACTCAATCCAGCGCTCCATCCGCATGCGAAAGTACTACAATACCATTTTTCTCGGCTTAGTGGATATTGCTATGGTAAATGCTTTTATCATTCACAAGATCGCCCTGCGTCGTCTCAACAAGCCCGTTCCCACGCATGCCGTGTTCATGCGGCGACTACATTTTGCCCTGTTGAGTCAGACAAGCGAAGATTTTGCCGGGGACGATGACTTAGCAGACCTCGTCACTTCCTCGAAGCGTGCACACGCTCGAGAAGACGGAAGAGAAAAACGGAAACAAGCGCCGCCAGTGGCTCTGTAAGGTCTGCTCAGCGTACGCGGGTCCTGGCGTCCGCAGCTTCGAAACGAGCTATTTTTGCGCGACGTGCTCAAGAGTCAAGAAGGGGCGCGTTACTCTATGCAATAAGGCTCGCCGACTAGACCACGGTAGCGCTCTCACCTGCAACGAAGTATGGCACCAGAGCTGGCGCAACGGCATGGCTATTCCTGCTGAGATGCAGCACAAAATCCGGTTTGTAGAGAAGCGTAGACGCGAGGTCTGTAGCGAGAGTGAAGAAGACTAATGAATGGCACTTGGGAATGATGTTCACATTTTGTTGTGTTGTCGTTTGGGTAATGCCCAACGGTTTTGCAGGGAGATCGCAATTGACAGTAATTAGGACGATTTTCGTACTGCCCATCTCTAACGATTAGCCAATCACATTCTCTAGGCAATCCACGTGTCAGACAAAAGGGCTGCATACATGATATAAAGTACTGATTTTCCGGTATAGTTTACTTCATATGTTATAATCACGGATAATCCGGAACAGCCTTCGTATTAGAAGGGTTAATCGGGCCTCAAAAGGGTGGTCCTAAGAAGGAGAGGGTAGAGATAGACCTAAGATTTGATGTGAAAATGATAAAATTTAATCTTTGGCAATCACAAGTCCTACGCAACCTTCGATCTTACGTAGGGGCCGCTATAGACAATAAATCCGATTGGGTAACTTTTACCGGCCATTTCCTCCTTCGTAGGTCCTACGCAAGAGGCCTGGTTGATATGGATAGAGCCGGTGATACATGTACCTGTGGTATTGTCAATTCCAGTGAAAATTGGATACCGAGGGTGATTGACGGATAGTCTGAAAAATCAACACTTAGATATGATTGGTCAAAACTCACCAGCTGCAACTTCGGTTGAACCACAAGCTGATATTGATGCGAAGTAGCGTCCGCTGGGGATGCTGGTATCTGCTGCTCAGGTTGACCAACAGGAGATGCAGTTCGGGGTGATGTTCGACGTCGCGTGGAATGTGGGGTCCGCGGCTGTCTAGCTGTACCAGGGGCTGAAGAAGGTCGAGCTTGAGCTGATTCACCAGGTGATCTTGCTGCTCCAAGAAGTGACGCTCGTTGGGCTGCGGATGACACTGGACCCGGGGTTGAGTATGGCCTAGTCGTGGTCGCTGGCAGTGCTTCTCGGCCTGGAGGTGTACGCCGTCGTATTGGACGGTGTAGTCTCCGTTGGCGTCCGAGTACGCTCAGGATATGGAGATACACGGGCCGAATGTGGCGATACACGTGTTCGACCACCACAGCGTGCACCATCAGCTGATGCAGCACTTGCTGGTGGGGGTCCTCTTGCGCAACCAGGCGAGACGTTAGATCGGAGATCCATTACCGTTTGCTGACACGGGAAACGTTGCCGATGCGCTGTGCCCTGAGCTTGCAGTGTGTGGAAACCTGTCGCATGTAATGTTTCCGTATGATGTATGGTAGGATGAACGATTTCATAGGCCATTCGGCGCGGGTGATTAATAAATCAGGCAGTCAAGTTTTGAGTAGAAAGCACAATATGCAGAACTCACATTATGCAGAGATCGCCCTGGCGCTAATCGCATAAAATAACAAAAGAAAATAATAAAGACATGTACAGCTTCCTTAAGTCTTCGTATCACACTGTAAAGCGACAATTTCTAGGCTAGAAGAGAGCGTTGTGCCTCACTGAAAGTTATGTACTTTAGAGCGCATCCCACTTTATGCTACTGCATAAGCTTTACTGGCTCCAGGGTAGGTATAACGAGGCCCTATGTAGGAGCGGAGGCCCTACGTAGGGCCCCAAATTGGAGGGCATTCTGGCAGAAATACTTCCTCTGTCCGAAAATATAAGCGGTAAGAGTGGTCAGGCCCTTGTTCAGGTGGATAATGTGTTCTGTCGACAAACAGATTAGGGCCGGACGCAACAGTTGAGAACGCTGTGCCCCGGTATGTTCAGGTCGGGCACTTCGCTTGCCACCATCAGTTCTTGCGGTTCTCTGCTGCGACAACAGCAACGAGGCCTCAAGCAGCTTTCCACCATTGAGCCACCAGATCAAGGTGAACGTGTCCAGCCTACAATCCTTCTTCCGAATATCATGGCTCCTGCAACTGCGCCGCCCATGGTGTCGCTGCCACTGCAGTGGCCAGACCTCATCAGCGCTCACTCGCTGATGTCGCAGTCAGTGACATCAGTCGCAACAGCCCAGTCGTCACCACCAACATCGCTTGGAGTGGTGCAGCCGCAGCCAGTAACGACGAGCTTGCCTGCTCTACCCACTCACACCTGATACTGCCAAGTCTGCGGCTATACCCGCAACAAAGGGAAAAGGGAACACCAAAAAGCAAACGAAGCGCACTAAATGGACCAACAAAATGGTTGAGGAGCTGCTTCACTTCCGCTTTTCGGACGGAGACGTGAAGCGTCGACTCGAGACTGCCGACACGAAGATTAAAAAAGGCTCTGGCCTGGCAATACTTTGCCAGTGTGCTGTCAGATTCTCTGGGCATGGTACTCATCCACGAGCAGGTAGGCCTAAACTCTCACGCGTACGGTACTGCGCTCTAACTATTTTTGTGTTGTATGGGCAGGTTTCTCTTGAAATATCGGAAGCTGAAGTGTATCTACAGGAAAGAAAAGCGTGAGATGTAGAAGACCGGAAACAACCCACGCGCTACTGAAATGGACGAAGGCTTGTGGGCGATTCTGAATGACGCATTTGGGGCATTAGTGGCGAGATGCTGTTAGACTCCGCTGTACCTGAAGAAGAAAACGAGGACGCCGATTCGTCTTCTGTGAAAAACGACACTACGTCCAAACAAAAGCCTCCACCAGACGTGCAACTTGCGACAGCGCTGCAGGGTAGAATGAAGCGATTGCAGCATCGCTAGGCTCTCGCTCCTCTTCCGAAGGTCAGGTCCAATCGCTGACAGCTACGTTACAGCAGCATCATGAAGAGACGCGGCGTTTCCAAGAGATGCAGCTTCAACTACTGCGTGAAGTGTTGAGACAGCGCCACAACTAGCTCAATTCCCATTAACGCTTGTAATTTCTGCTAACAATCGTATTGTTCAAACAGCTAACTCCCCACCATAATGTCTGCTATGTCGTTGCGCTTTGAAATGCCTTGCTTGTGACAGATGACCTGCTCGCGATCATGCAGGTCTTCATCGGGCGTGTTGGTGCTTCACGTAGCAAAGGATCCGCTCCTTCGACTTGTACTCCATCTTTTACCAGCACCAGCAAGTTGTGCAAAACAGTGCAACCTAGAACAATCTTGCAAACGCGCTCTGCAGTCTTCTGTTCTAGTTTACCTTGCAAAATACTGAAGCGATTTTTTAGACGACCAAAAGCACACTCGATAATGATGCGAGTCTTTGGGTACAGGTAATTGTACAACCGTCTCCGACGATCTTGTAAAGCTTCTCCTTCAGGAGATGGAGTAAGCAGATGCCCCCAGATCTTGTAGCCCGCATCGCCCAACAGGTGCATTCCTGGTGGAACGTAGCTTGCAATTCTAAAACCGTAAAATCCATTGGTAATAAATATAGTATCAGTAACGGTAAAGAAAAACTTACCGTCTCCGCACTCCAGAACCATTCCAGAGAGACTGGTCGTTCTTAGATCCCGAGCGAATAGAAATCGAACGGAACAAACCACGGTGATCTACCACGGCTTGTACGTTGACGACAGAGAAAGTTTACGGCAGTACCATCCCTCGAAATCGTGGGGGCGCGAGATGCGGATGAGCGTGCCGTCGACTGCACCAATCGTGCCGGGGAACCCAGCTACATCGAAGAAGCCACCCTCAATCGAGGGCATGTGGGCATCACAACGAACCGTGTTGCCATGGCACTGAGCACATCCAGGGTGTCGTTAATGTAGACCACAGCACGAGGCCTGGATATGCCCATTACCGTGGCTGCTTGGTCCATAGTACCCCCTGGGCTAAGCACATCATCGTTAGTGCCACACGCTTAATGACGGGGCTCTTGGTGTTCGGACCGGGCTCACAAGCCCACACAGCATGTACCAGCTCGTAGATTCGCAAGAACGACTCCTTACCTTATCGCTTTAATGACTTGGATTTAAGGGAACGGCAGCCCACTTAAATTTCCGGACGGAGGAATAAAAAAATATTATTATTTAGGATTCCTAAATAATAAGCCCTAGACCTGCGCTTGAGTCATACCGTTTCATTGAAAGTAAGAAAATAAGAGTACTATAACTATCCTTTAAAATATGACTACTGAACTGCTGTATAATACTATCCGAAATAGATGGATACATTTGTGTGCAAACACAAATCAATTAAGTGCGGTTTGAAGCAGACATCAGGGGCTCAAGCAGTAGTTCGCAGACGAGCACCTTGCGTGCATACGATTGGCTGCTAGAAGGAGATAGGTGCGTGGTATTCGTTTTTGAAGCCCCGGCCGCGTACTTTGGACCAGCTGCGCAGATCAATTCTCGTCTGCCTCTCAACATTGTGATGATGAAACCCCGGATTCTTTGGTTCCCAGGTGAAACTTCTCCTGGCGTCAAGCCGAGTGGCCAGGGCTACAGTACTATGCACCTGGCATCCGCTGAGTATCATCCTAGGGGTACCGGTAGAGACTTGCGAGAATGCGCGCACTTAAAATGGTACTGTAGCAGAATGCAAAGATTTCGGAGTGTCAATCGCCTTGCCACACAATGGAGTTCTGTATTCTTACCACGGTAAGAATACAGTAGCAAGTAGTGCAGTGCAAATACACCAGCAATAAGCAATGAGCAATGCGCATGTGCGGTGCAGCGACGCCAGCGATATGAGCAGTACTCATTGAGCACTGTGTCAAATTCTTGTGCGTGCCTTGCACTCGGTGACGAGAGGAAGCCGACCCCCCCCCCCCCACGGCAACCGGTTTGACTTTCGGATCCCATGGCTCGTTTATGTTGTGTGGCCAAGGCCCAGTCTCTGCCCTCGATTTATTACACCGTAGGTTGCCATCAGGCAGCAGGATCCGCAGCTTGTTTTGTTTATGCACGACGGCCACGTACCCGTGCGATCTTGTGCTCATAGCCGCCGCTTCAGTCTTTTGACTCGCGATCTTGCCATTTCCCAAAAGGAAGCGCCGCGGACAAAAGGCCAATCCGTCCCACCGCTTCCCGTGTATCTTCACTTTATCCCCGAGTGTTTTAATCAACGGATAGGATGCTTCGCCTATCGCACTCGGTGAAGCGCCGCGTGCCGCTGCACAAGGCCAGTGGCAACCGCCTGCTGGTGTCTGCGCGAGAGAAAGTAGATCGTCGCAATGCGCCGCGCTTCGAGACGCCTGCTGTGCTCGAGTTTGAGGACGGCACGCGCTTCCACGGTGTGTCGTTCGGTGCCAAGAAGTCCATGGCCGGTGAGGTCGTCTTCACCACGGGCATGGTGGGCTACCCGGAGGCCCTCACAGACCCGTCGTTCAAGGGTCAGATCCTCAATATGACCTTCCCCATGATCGGTAACTACGGTGTACCTGACACGAAGGCGTTGGACGAGTTTGGTCTCAACAAGAACATCGAATCCGACCGCATCCACGCCGCCGGTATGATCGTGCAGGATTACTCGAGCCATCACAGCCACTGGAACGCTGCGCAGTCGCTTTCCGAGTGGCTCGAGAGTGAGGACATTCCCGGTATTGCTGGTATTGACACACGTGCTATCACCAAGAAGATCCGTGCGCATGGTGCCATGGCCGGCCGCATTATTGTCGAGGGCAGCGACAAGCCCAACCTCGTGGATGTCAATGAGGCTAACCTGGCTTCTCTCGTCTCGACTAAGGACGTCATCACCTACGGTAAGGGAAACCCACTCAAGATCCTGGCTGTGGACTGCGGTATCAAGTACAACATCATCCGTGAGCTCGTCAAGCGTGGCGCTGAGGTCAAGCGCGTGCCGTGGAACCACGACATTTCGTCCGAGATCGGCTGGTATGACGGTCTCTTCATCTCCAACGGTCCTGGCGATCCGGCCATCATGAAGGAGACCACAGCCCAGCTCAAGAAGGCGTTGGCTCTGCAGGGCGACGACGTCAAGCCTATCTTCGGTATCTGTCTGGGTAACCAACTGCTCAGTCAGGCTGCCGGTGCCACCACGTACAAGCTTCCGTTCGGTAACCGTGGCCAGAACCAGCCCGTGCACAATCTCAAGACTGGCTTGAGCTACATCACTGCTCAGAACCACGGTTACGCTGTGGACGGCAAGACCCTGCCCAGCGACTGGGAGGAGCTGTTTGTAAACCTCAATGACGGCACCAACGAAGGTATTATCCACAAGTCCAAGCCTTACTTTACCGCGCAGTTCCACCCGGAGCACGCTGGTGGCCCCACGGACACGGAATTCCTCTTCGACACGTTCCTGGACGCTGTGCGTACCAAGGAGAAGGGATCGATCAAAAGTCTGGTGCAGCGTCCTCACATTGAACGCCCCAAGGTGAAGAAGGTGCTGGTGCTTGGCTCCGGTGGTCTCTCCATTGGCCAGGCCGGCGAGTTCGACTACTCTGGCTCGCAAGCTATCAAGGCTCTGAAAGAGGAGAACATCGAGACGATTCTCATCAACCCCAACATTGCCTCTGTGCAGACCAACATTGACCGCTCCAGCGAGGCTCAGGCCAGCAACGTGTACTATCTTCCGGTGAACCCAGACTTCGTGGAGCAGGTTATCAAGCGTGAGCAACCGGATGGTATCCTGATCTCGATGGGCGGCCAGACGGCGCTGAACTGCGGTATGGAGCTGGACAAGCGTGGCGTGTTCGAGAAGTACGGCGTGCAGGTGCTGGGTACGCAGATCGATGTGATCAACTACACTGAGGACCGTGAACTGTTCAACGACAAATTGGCCGAGATCAACGAAAAGATCGCACAGAGTGAAGCCGTCGAGTCGGTGGAGGATGCCGTCAGGGCTGCTTACCACATCGGATTCCCCGTGATGATCCGTTCTGCGTTCGCTCTTGGCGGTCTTGGCTCGGGTATTTGCGAGGACGAGGCTCATCTGCGAACGATGGCCAAGCAGGCTTTCTCGGGCAGTCCTCAGATCTTGGTGGAGCGTTCGATGAAGGGCTGGAAGGAAGTTGAGTACGAGGTGGTGCGCGATGCTGCCAACAACTGTCTGACGGTGTGCAACATGGAAAACTTCGATCCTCTGGGTATCCACACCGGTGAATCCATCGTTATCGCGCCGTCGCAGACGCTGTCGAACCGTGAATACCACATGCTGCGTGAGACTGCTGTCAAGGTCGTGCGTCATCTTGGCATTGTCGGTGAGTGCAACATCCAGTACGCATTGAACCCGGAGTCGGAGGAGTACTGCATTATCGAGGTAAACGCGCGTCTGTCACGCTCGAGTGCTCTGGCCTCCAAGGCCACGGGCTACCCACTTGCCTTCGTGGCTGCCAAGCTTGCCCTGGGCATTAACCTGCCGGACCTGAACAACTCAGTGACCAAGAGCACAACCGCCTGCTTCGAGCCGTCGTTGGACTACTGTGTTGCTAAGATGCCGCGTTGGGACCTGGCCAAGTTCGAGAACGTCAGCACGGAGATCGGATCGTCCATGAAGAGTGTTGGCGAGGTCATGTCGATTGCCCGTACCTTTGAAGAGGCTATTCAGAAGGCTCTGCGTATGGTGGAGCCTTCGAACGAGGGCTTCGAGCCGCGTTACGATGAGTTGTCGCACGAGGAACTTGTGAAGGCACTTGGCAAGCCCACAGACCGTCGTATCTACCAGATCGCACAGGCCTTGAAGACTGGCCAGCTGTCGATTGAACAGGTACACGAGATCACCAAGATCGACACGTGGTTCCTCAGTCGTCTGCAGGCTATCTGTGACTGCGATGTGAATCTGACGGGTAAGAAGCTGAACGAGGTGACTGCCGAGGAGATTGTGCAGGCCAAGAAGCTCGGATTCTCGGACCGGCAGCTTGCTCGCATGTTCAGCTGCGCGGACGACGACGTGCGTGCTAAGCGTAAGGAGCTTGGCATCGTGCCTGCTGTGAAGCAGATTGATACGCTTGCTGCTGAGTACCCGGCTCAAACCAACTACCTGTACATGACATACAACGGATCGGAGCACGATGTGCCAGCACAGGACCCGAACGACGGTGTGATGGTGCTGGGTAGTGGTGCTTACCGTATTGGTAGCTCTGTTGAGTTCGACTGGTGCGCTGTGAGCTGCATCCGTACGCTACGCAAGCTCGGCCACCGCGCTGTGATGCTCAACTACAACCCCGAAACGGTGAGCACGGACTACGACGAGTGTGACCAGCTGTACTTCGAGGAGCTGTCCAAGGAGCGTGTGATGGATGTCAACGACCGTGAAGGCGTGCAGGGCGTCGTGGTGTCTGTTGGCGGACAGATCCCCAACAACCTGGCCTTGCCGCTGCACAAGGCTGGCGTGAAGATTCTGGGCACACACCCGACGATGATTGATAGCGCTGAGGATCGCTTCAAGTTCTCCAAGCTGATGGACGAGGCTGGTGTGCCTCAGCCTGCCTGGAAGGAGCTGACGAGTCACGCTGCTGCCCGTGAGTTCGCAGAGCGTGTGGGCTACCCCGTGCTTGTGCGTCCGTCGTACGTGCTGAGTGGTGCTGCCATGAACGTTGCCTACAACTTCGAGGAGCTGGATAACGTGCTGAACCAGGCCGTGGCTGTGTCTGCTGACCACCCCGTTGTGATCACCAAGTTCGTGGAAGGTGCCAAGGAGCTGGAGCTTGATGCTGTGGCGAAGGACGGTAAGGTGATTGCTGCTGCCATCTCTGAGCACGTTGAAAATGCCGGTGTACACAGCGGTGATGCGACGCTGGTTCTGCCTCCCGTTGACGCCAGCTCGTTCTACACGAACCAGATCAAGCGTAACGCCGAGAAGATCGCCAAGGCGCTTAACATCTCGGGTCCGTTCAACGCGCAGTTCCTGGCCAAGGGCGCTGACGTGAGTGTGATTGAGTGCAACCTGCGTGCCTCGCGTTCGTTCCCGTTCGTGTCCAAAACGACGGGCGCTGACTTCATCAACGCCGCCACGAAGGTGATGGTGGGCCACTCGACGGAAAACGACAACCTGCCCCCTCTTGATGGTCCCAAACGCCCGGAGGGATTCGTTGGTATCAAGTCGCCCATGTTCTCGTACACTCGTTTGGGTGGTGCTGACCCGCTGCTCGGCGTTGAGATGGCGTCGACCGGTGAGGTTGCATGCTTCGGTAAGAACCGCGCTGAGGCGTTCCTGAAGGCGCTGATCTCGTCCAACTTCCAGCTGCCGGAGAAGAACATTCTGTTGTCGATGCAGGACAAGTTCTCGGAGGATTTTGTGCACGCTGCATACAAGATGCATGAGCTGGGCTACAACCTGTACACGACGGAGAAGACCCATGCGTACTTGAAGAAGTACGACATTCCATCGACCAAGGTGGACTTCCCGTCGGACGGCGACAGCGAGACCAACGCTCTGAATCTGATCAAGGACGGCAAGATCGACCTGGTGGTGAACCTGCCCAACAACCAGAGCCAGCAGACGGAGAACAACTACCTGATTCGTCGCACGGCGGTAGACTTTTCCATCCCGTTGCTGACCAACATCAGTCTGGTGCAGCTCTTCGTGGAGGCGATGGCTATCCACAAGAACAAGCCCATGCTTGGTCTCGAGCCGGACAGTCTGTTCGACTACTACAAGCGCGAGAAGGTGGAGGACGCGTGGACGGACGTACACGAGTTCCACTGAGCGCATTATCGCGTGGGGAAGCAGTGTGCGAGCCCCATGCGTCGAGTATTTCGTGTAGTAGACTAAGAAGCAAAGTCATCAACACGACCATTGTTATCTAACACCTACCTGCCTTCCTCAATCTTATCTAAATCTTGCAACACAAAGCACTCGTTGTGCTCCTTGAACCAACTCTCTAAACCAAAAGTGAACAAACCTCGCGTGTACGCCACCTTCTCCTTCTCGTCCATCGCTTTCAGAGCCTCCATTTCCGGGGAGGTCTTCTTTGTCTTAGCTGCAGCTTTATGTGCCAACTCAAAATATTGATCCGAAAAGTTCTCAACAAGTTGCGGCTCTTGCTCTTGGAGCTGCGTCTGGAAGTGAACGCAGCGTGTATAAGCCGCGATCACGTAGGCATCGGCTATGTCGAATGCTGAGTCGGCTAGCGCCCCAGTTCGCATACGTTCAAAACTCGGCAGAGCTTCAGATGTGTCTGTGTATTCTTGACCTGCTGCCTGTGTGAGATCAGGCTCTTGCTGTTCCAAGAAGCTCATGACTTGGTGCTTAATGCTGGTCTTCTTGCTCTTTGACGTCGGTGCACTGAGTCCGAAGAATCCACGAGCAGCCGACGGATGTGTGTGCAATGGCAGCACGTCGAAGCGCTTCCAGCAAGCGAAGGAGACGATGCCGTTGAGCTGTGCTAGCTGGAAAATGCCGGCGTTGTGGAAGCGACCGGAGCGGAACATTCGCATGAACGCTTCTATGCCAACGACCCATTGAGCATCGGGTTGTTGCTGCAGCTCGGCAGCGTGGACATCGGCTAGGAGCTCGTCGACAGCACCACCGATATGCATTACCTCAGCACTGGGGAATTGGGCCGTGGGAATGTGGCCCCAGCGACACACGCGGCCACGTTCCGTCACGATGGCGAAACCCGTGCTGTTGGTGTTGACGTCCAGACCGAGCACACGCAGAGGCGGCGAACGTCGCACCAGTCGCTGTGCATATTCAGCAAGGTCGCATACCCCGAGGGCCTTGCGGATACGCGCCCCATTGCGGCGCAGAATCCTACGCGTCATTTACAGCCAATAAAACATGCATTTTAAGATGTGTAAAGCTACAATTTTATTTTATGAAAATCACAATTGTAAAAGAAAAAAGTTTTTTTAAAGTAAAGAATAACTGCAGTAACATTGCTTTCCATTACATGTATTACGACGAAATATATTGGATAAAGAATTTTTTCTTTATCAACTTATTTCACCAAATGTACATGTACAGTACAGCACCCCGTTTTCGCGCCCTTGGACCTTTAATAAACTTCTAAATGTAGTAACTGTAAATTCAAATTAACAATGATTTGTAAGCAAAAGTCTAGTGTATTTGCAAATCCTATCTGGTCCACCCCCGCGAAAACGGTGCAGTACTGTATTACGACGAAATTGGATTATTTTTTTTCTGCCTTGCCAATGGCAGAAAAAAAATAATGTGCTGTGTGGCTTTTGTCCGACATAAGCCACACAGCACCCCAGTCTCCGTTAATCCAGCTACCAGGCCCTTGTATTGACCAACTAGCGATTCATTCGAGACGGGGTGCCGGTAACGATGCGAACGGATATAGCGCACATACTGGAGATTCTTTATCATTGCTGACTTTAACGGTCGGTCCAAACGTTTACAGCTCTCCCGCATTTGCTTGACTTGGATCCAACTAGATCCTTTATAAACTTCACTGTCACAACTCCGACATGACGAACCATCAATGCTGCCCCAGACTGTTGTAGGGGGGGGATGCACAGCCTTGTAGATGTAGAAGAAGCGGGAGCCAGTGAACGAAGCAGGTTTATGAGAGAACACAAGATTGCTTCGTGTTGTAGTGCCTCGCACTGAGTAGACTGTGGATTGAAGTAGTGAATGGTTGGTTTGATCCTATAGTCTAACATGCTTTGGTGTTGATTTAGCTCTGATTTAGTATTGTATTTGCGATTGAGAAGGCCGTTATTGTCGCAACTTTGGACCCCAGGTCGATATGGATGCCACTGCATCGATCGCAGGTGTCGGTAGCTTGCGATCTGCAACACTCCTCCTCGATAGTGACGGTATCATTACTCTCGTTTTATTGCTTTGATCGCTTAGGTAAGACCAGCTTGATTTTCGCAAAATTGCGTCTGTGTAGCGTAGCAGCTAGGGGCTTAGTCAAGATATCTGCTTTCATCTCGGTAGTGGGGCAATAGCACACAGCAACTTGGTGCGGTTAGCTATTTTTGGGGTCGTTTACGGGTAGGGCCTGATAATTGGGTCAGGCGGGTTTCCTGACGGCCCTACCAAACACAGGACCAATTGCTAAGCTACATATTGAAGTGAAAGATATGAAGCTAAGCAGTTGGGTTAAAATGCTTAGACCACGATGGTCTGCGCGGCACGAGGTTGGTCGGCTTCAGTGTCGCATTCATCGGCATCACTGTCATTGCTGATCACACCTGCGCCCAAATTGGTAGCAGCAGCGTCCTCTTCGCTGCTAGTACCAGAGACGCCCTTGTTGTCATCATCACTGTCGACGTCTACAGCCTCGTCATCTTCTTCACTGCTCGATTCTTCTTCTTATGTAGGAGGATCCTGTTGGAAATGGAACCTGACCCAATAATCAGGCCTGACCTGTATACGACCCCGTTAAAATTCTACCCTTGGTGCTGGCGGATGGCGTCTCGAATGAAGTGAAACTTTATGTTGATATATTTCATCCGAGCCGTGGCTATGTCGTTTTCCATGTTCTTGATGGCGCTCTGATTGTCGATGTAATGTCTGTTTCGCTACATCGACCTAGCTCGTTGAATAGCTGCTTTACCCATATCAAATGTTGTATCGCGGTAGCCCCGGCGATGTACTCCACCTCAGCGATGGAGAGGGTGACCCGTGGACTGTTTCTTGATGTACCAGCCAATGAGCATGTTGTTCATGGTGAGCAATCCACCGGAGGTTGATTCGCGTCCTTGTCTCCGGATGGCTGTCTTGATAGTCTTTCGCGGTGCTTGGGGTCGCATGTAGAAGAGCTTTAGCTCACGCGTGCCTCGAAGATAGCGCAGGGTCCGCATCCAGTGTGCAGCGGTGGGTTCTGACACGATGCGCGCTAGGTAGTTGACGGTCATTGTAATGCCCAGCTGTGTGCACGTACTGAGCCATAGTGGGGATCCAATAATCTCCCATATCATGCTCGTGTCGTAGAAGGGCTCGTTGTCCTTGTTGTGCAGGTGCTTGGTCGACTTCATCGGTGTCGACACCGGGCGGCAGTTTTACCATGCCGAGTTTTATCATTAAGCTATTGATGCTTGTCATTTATTGTAAATAGATGCCGGAGTCAGTCGGCTCAATTTGTTTGTCCAAGCACTTCTTCGCTGTACCCAAGTCCTAGATCTGGTACTTCTCAGCGAGTTTCTGCATGGTCTAGTCCGAGTCACTTTCACGCTGGCTGACTACGAATAAACCGTCCACGTAAAGCCCCAATACCGCCATGAAGCCGTTGAACCTTCGACAGTACAGACACGGATCAAGCTTGCTCCTCCTGTACCCCAACTCCAGTAAGTACTTGTGGATCATGTCGTTCCAGAGCTTGTCACTCTGTTTTAGGCCGTATAGGCTCTTGCGTAGAAGTAGTGACTTGTCTTTTGGGAGGCTAAGACCAGCAGGTGCGCGCATGTGGATGGGTCTGTCAAGGTCTGCTTGGAGGTAGGCATTTGGTACGTCACCCTGTCGGAGTATGGCATGCCATAGGGCACCAAGACCTACGATCAAGCGCAAGCTAGTAAACTTGAGCACGGGGGCAAATGTTTCACCGAAGTCCACTCCGTACTTTTGAGTGAAGCCACGGGCAACCAGCCGATCTTTAAAATATCTCCAACTCGCCCTTACTATCAAACTTCATCTTGAATACCCACTTGGCGCTGATCAAGTTTTCACCGGAGGGGACGTCCACTACCTCCCACGTTGCGTTTTTCGAAATAGATCGAAGCTCTTTCTTCACTGCTTTCAGCTACTCACACCAGTATGGGCTCTCTTTGGACTCTTTCACTGTAGTTAACACCCTGATATCATCGCTCTCCAGCGGGGCCATGAAGGCTGCACCTCTTTGCAAGATGATTGTCAATAATGCAACAATTGGGGTAGGCGGAACTCGTCACGCGGTAGGGTACGTGCACCTCGGTTCAGTCCGAAGATGCGCTGAATTGGACAAGAGCTGAACTCGTGATGTTCAGAGGGACTTCCAGGTTCATCATCACTTGTGTTTCCATTACTGATAGTTGCTTCGTCATCGGTAGATGTCATCGCTGGTGCAGTTATTCGCGCTGCAACTGTAATAGTTGGAGTCCACGGCGTCCATGTAGCGACCCACAGCCCGCGGATCCAGGCGGTCAATATTTTTGGGTGTGCGTGGTAGAGATAATGCACTTGGTGCGTGGGACGTAGAGACCGTACGCCTTCTTCTTAGGGTCGATCCAGATAATAGCTCCTTTTTCAGCTCGCTTCTTTGCTGATTTCTCTGCTACATGGGCAATGCGGCTCGTACATTTTGCTCCGAACTTCAGGATGTGCGACACATCTGGCACATTTGCCGATAAGGCCTCAAGCGAGGATGCGTAGTTTGCATTCGCCCGTGTCGGTAGGTGGTTGAGTATGTAGCTGGTGTAGAGAACAGCATCGCCCTAGAATCTCTGCGGCAGGGCAGAAACCCACAGCATCGCGTGGACAGTGTCCATAAGAGTCTCATGAAAACACTCTGCCTTTTCGTTTGACGAAGACATACCCGGTTCGGTGAGCTGGTGACGGATTCCACGATTAAAAAGAAAAGGCCAATCCGGTTGTTGCTAACCTCACCACCTGACGTCAGATTTAAGAACCTTGACCGAAACATCATGTTGCCTTTCAAACTGGCTGATAAAATTCTCGATGTGTCCTTCTGCATCGCTCTTCTTGTGAAGTAAGTAGACTCGATTGTAGTTGGTTGCATGATCAACGATCGTCAAGATGTGTTTGTGGTCGAGCCGGTCCGGAGTCATGTCGGTCTTTAGATCGACGCACAGCATCGCAATGGATTCGTTTGTAGGCGCGGAGGTAGATATGTCCGCCTCGTTCTTTTCTCGTCGTGTTTGCTTCCGTTCAGCACAGATCATGCAGAAATTGATTCGTTTGTTGAAGACAATCATGCCTCCGGCAAGTTTCTCGTCCAACATACGAGTAAGATCCTGAAAATTTATGTGACCGAGCCGCTCGTGCCATTATTGGAGAGTAGACGTCCTCATAGTAACAAAAACTGCCATCCCTTCTTCGATTCCGAGCGACCAAAGTCCGTCCGTCGGTGATTAATTAATCTCTGCAACAACCTTGTTGGACTTAGTCTGTACAACACACTGCTATACAAACTCGCACGTGTAGCCTCGTTGAGTGAGCTGGGGGACCGAAATCAAGCTGCGACTTATGCCCTTCGCGTAGTAAACATCCTTCAACAATACTGTTTTTTTTCACACCATTTGCAATTGTGGTGATGACGGTACTACCCTTCTCAGTTGTTGCGATTGCCATTTGCGGCGCGAACATACTAGAGGCGGATTCTGATGCAAACAGTTGGTTTCTGTCGGAGCACAAGTGGTGAGTAGCACCAAAATCCATAGTCCAATGGCCAACCCTTGCAACGGGACCAGACTCGGTTTCGCATGCGGTCATCCAAGCGTACCCTTCATCATCAGAGTAGTTTGTGGTATGGTCATTCTCACTATCATCACCATCAGCGTTTGCCAGGTTTGAACTTCCTCTAGATGCCAATTCTTTCGCAGGTTGGACCACCGGACACGTAAAGATTGTATGGCCTTCCTTGTTGCACGCATGACAGCGTATTTCACCGCGTTTACTAGTCGCCGTATGCGCCTGTCCGTCGCCTGGCCTTGAAAGGTGTGCATCATTGTATTCACTGTTGTGATATTGCTGACGTCGGGGTAGGTCATCATTTTTTTTTCCGATTAATGCGAACTTGGTCACAATCACCATAATAATTGATGTTTCGATGCCCGTTTTGATGATTCTTTGATGTTTGCTTCCGATCCGCCTTCCGTCACCTTTTAGCTTGTACAATAATCGGTTCATGCGATCGGTTTCTACGACATAGTCGCTGGTATCCTCATTGACAGACGACAACAGTGTTGCGACAAGCTCTGGACATACGTAAATTCCAAATACTTCCATCACTAGTATGTTTTGATTGCCTTCCAATAGACCTTCGATGAAGCTGATGTACTCCAAATACGCATGCCAGAAATCTCTTTCTCTTTTGTGACGCAGGGTAGCCCTTCCGACAATACCAACCTTCAAATTATGCTGGTCGGGCAATCCGCACTAGTGTGCCATCGACAGCACCAATAACACCAGGAAAATCTGCGAGGGCGAAGAACCCGTCCTCTACGGTAGACTCTTTACTCGATTCAGGCATGCAGATGACTGTTTTCGCGAGACTGATGATCAACCTTGAGGTGATGTAGCTTACAGCACGAGTATACGAGATGCCCAGTACTTGGTCAGCCGTCTCGATTGTCCCCCTTGCGCTAAATACGTCATAGTCAGTTCTACGCAATGGACAATTCTAATTTTTGCGCTGTGATGCGGCACAACTAGCCACACCACTGTAAGTGTCCGGGTGATGATATGATAGGAGGAGTGATCACAACGCAGCATCTTGTTAAACCACCTCGTGTGTGGAGCCTTGAACGCCCTCTCTAACGTCTCCGTAGAGAACGTCGACTCGTTTTCCTGCTTATTTGTGAGTGCTCGGATCTGCGGTGACTGTAATCGCCGCAGCGACGCTAGCGATGACGATACGAGTTCTACAAGAGCTGCCAGACACAAATGGTTGCATGTACCACTTCTAGAAAGCCAATCAAAACGTTTAATTTTGCTCCTGTCAGAACGGCTCTGAATTTTTTTTGGGCTAGGGCCTAACCCCAGTGAAATTTGCTCCTATTTAATATCTCGTATTAACCCCAACAACAAAAAATAGGACAAAACAAAGGACTAAAAGTTGATGACCTTGCTTGGCCTCAGTTTTAGTAGATGCTCCTGTGAATGTATATAGAAATGTACCCCTGTATTACCTCTCTACAACTATACTAGCACCACTTACATAAACCTACGCGTTATTGCACGAGGTGCTGTGCCGAAAGGTGTCTGGAAAGATGTCCCGAAGAGTGTTTTGTCCTCAAATTAAGAACAAAAGCTGTCAAATTCGATGGTATAATAAGTATAATTTTAATTCCATACAAAGTGGCGTCGGGTGTCTCAACTGTCATATCAGACAGCAATTGCGCTCTAATTTTGTCCTTATAATCGAGGTCTTAAGGACAATATCACTTCGAATTTGACGATCTTGCTTCTTAATTCGTCCTCATTTCTTACGGACAAGTTGTGCTGGGGTAAAAATAGGAGTATTAATATCAGTGATTATGTGGCAAACATTGCGTGATTGATTTTCTTCAGACTTAGTGTATTCCACACCACTTTCTCAAATTTTTGTACCGCCACATTGGCATCCATTTTGCTCGCCCATCCAAAACTGTGACATCGGCACCCACAATGACACCCATCCCCGCAGACTGCGGCAGAGCGATCAATGATATCGGGTCGCTTTCAACGCTGATGGCTAAACATCGCTCTTGATAGGAAAAATCCAGCTACATGTATCGCTCGCTGGTGCCGGGCACGTTTGCAAGGTTGTCCTTGTGTCAACCACTACAGTACAAAATCTCTCTCAAGCTCCTTTTCGCTCGATCGTCAGCGGCACGCAATTTCTGAGTGTAGGGCAGCGACGTGCGGGAAGCTCTCCTCAAACCTTTCTGACTTGATTCCAGTAAGCGAAAAAACGGGCGACTTTTTTCTGCCCCATTCACTAAACGATCGTTGCGCACTCGAACTTTCATTCTCTCTCTACCTCGGTAAGTCACAGACGACGGTGAGAAAGGCAAACTCGTTCCCTGCGTGCGGCACTTTATCGGCGTGAGGAAGAGTACACAACAGTAAACTAACCAAAAGCCGACATGAACGCGCGATTGCTTGCGCTACTGGGCGCGGCCGCCCTGGCGGCGAACACGGCGTTGGCCGTCACCACGTGCCCCGTATCTGTTCAGAGCAAGACAACTTCGACGCTCACACACCCCATCACCAAGGTGGTGTCGTCCACCTCCAGCGGAAGTGGCAGCGAGGCCACATCCTCGTCCTCTAGCTCGGGATCGGGCACCAGCTTTTCGGGCGCAGGCAGTCAGGGATCACAAAATGCGGATGTAGGCAGCTCTTCAAGCTCATCCACTTCCACGACTGCCGGCTCTAGCGGCGGTACTTCCACCGGCACCAGCACCACAGCTGGAAGCGATGACTCTACTGGCAGCGCTGGCGTTTCCACGACGACCACGACGCCATCGACGCCATCGACGCCATCGTCCACTACAAAGACCCCGTCGACCACCACAGACACGCCGTCCACCACGACGGCTCCTAGTACCACCACCGGAAGTGCGTCTACTACTACTACCACTACTACGACGGGGTCGGCCACCACTGCTCCTTCCACAGATACTACGGCGACAGTATCGACGTCATCGGGATCTGCGGGCACGGCGGCAGGCACCACCACTTCCATTTCACTTGGCGTGCGTAAGCTGCAGGCTACGACCACTACAACAACAGGCACTGCAGGATCGACCACAGGCACGACCGGCACGAGTACAACGACTGGAGCCACGACGACTACAGGAGCGACGGGGTCGACCCCGGCTACGGGCACGACCGGTACGACATCGACTACCGGCACGACCGGAACGACATCGACTACCGGCACAACCGGAACGACATCGACTACCGGCACGACCGGAACTAACGGAGCTACCGGAACGACCTCGACGACAACGACGACGGCAGGATCCAGCTCATCAATGGGCACAGTGGGCTCCAACTCTTCGGAATCGGACGTACTAACGTGTGATAGCAACTTCTACTCGGCGTGGGACACACTTGGCTTGACATGCGGTGGTTCCGGTATCGATGTGGACTCAGCCGTCTCGTCTTCTAGCTGCGTGATTTACAGCGGGTCCGTTGGCTCAACTTCAGGATCCACGTGCGTTTCTATCTGCTCGTTCCCGGCTTGCACGAACAACGCGTGGGCCTACGGCGCAGACAACGGCATCTCGTCGTCAGTCTACGATGGTTTCAGCATTGAATCGTTCCTCTCAAGTGATACCGTCGCCGCGTTGACGGAACGTTCGTCAACTGTCTCGACTTTCCTGTCCAACTCGACCATGTCGGACTCGGAGCAGTGTACGTACTCTTCCGAGTCTTCGTTCTCTTCGTGCACATGTTCGGCTATGCTAGTAGACAGAGACAGCACGGGAAGTGTGGCGGATGCTGCCAAGAAGCAGCAGCGCGCTCAGGATGAGGCCGATGGCGTCATTACGAAGGACAACACGACCACAACCGGTACTGTGGTGGCAGCGACGTCCAAGAGTGTTGCTGGCGTGACTGTTGCAATCACCGGAATTGCCGCTATCGCCAGTGCTGCTGTGGGTGGCGTCAGCTCTGCCGGTGCTTCGCTTGCTGCCGCTGGCTCGACGATGGCCATTACGACGGTTGAGATCTGCCAATTCGGTGTGCTTGTTAACCAACTTCAGCTTGAAGGCAAGTCATCAGCTCTGGCCCAGTTCGGTAAAGCTATGGCACCCGCGGCGTTCACGTTCCTGCCTTTCGGTAAGCTCAGCGATTCCGACTCGGACAGCAGCAGCTCAGGCAGCGGCAGTGGCATTGAATCTGGCAGTGGCAACGTCTCTGGTCGTCGTCTGGAGGGATCAAGCGCAAGCGGCAGTGGAAGTTCTAGCAGCACCAGTCAACTCACTGGTATTGAAAGGTACTCTCGCCAGCTGGACATCAATGAAGACATGCTGTTCATTGTGACACTGGCTGGTGTGTTCTGCGTGATGGCCGGTGTGGTCGGTCTCTTCGGTATCGGCTACCTGCTCTCCGGTCTCGTGATGCCTCGTGAGGAGTACCTGACCAAGTTTTTCGACAAGATGATCGGTCTCGAAGTGCTTGTTGCGATTCTGTCCCAGTATACTATCGGTGTGACGGCCACGTTCCAGATCTACTACTCGACCAAGTACGAGAGCATCACGGACCCCAAGTGTCTGCTGGCTATCGCTGCGATTCTCTTCTTGGCTACTGGTATCCTCGTGTATGGCTATTTTGTTATCAAGAAGCACGAGGCAGAGATCACGGATGTCGGTACAGTGCAGCACATGAAGAAGACCGTCAACATGCGCTACGGCCCTCTATACGAAGAGTACAAGTTCAAGAACCGCTACTTCTTCGCGGCCAAGATGATGTTGGCGCTGGCAACTGGTGTGGTCACTGGCTGTGCCAGCATGTCCGGAAAGGTGCAGGTGTCGCTCATTCTTGCGCTGAACGTGCTGTTCTTCTTCTACTTGGAGATCCAGTCGCCACACCACTCCAAGTTCGTGCAGACGACCACGAGTTTCGTGTCCATCATGAAGATCGCTGTGCTCGTGCTGACGTTCTTCCTGATCACAGCTGCTGCCAGCGACGGCTTCCCCACCAGTCTGCAGAACGGCATTTCGGTGGCCATAGTGGGCCTCAACTTGTTCGTGCTGGCCCTACTTATGGTCCGATCGCTGTACACGTTCTGGCAGAAGATGAAGCTGCAGCGCGATGCTGCGTACGACCAGGAGGAACAGACTGCACAGGATTACTTCAAGGACGAGACCCCCGCTGGCGGACGCAAGGATCGTGCTCCCAGCAATCCCCAGATCCCGTCAGGTCAGCCTGTTCTTCAGTCTCAGTACTCGAATGTGAACAACAACAACAGTCCGTACGTCCAGGATAACGCTACTGTGGACTACAGCAGCGCTGACGAGATCCGTTTGCGCTCGGCCACGCATGAGAAGGATGATCGTCAGCAGACGTACGACGCCAGTCGAACTTCGGCTGCCAACCACTACATCACACAGGACCGCAACACGTACGGCCAACGTCGCAATGATGTGGTGGAGCTGTAGTCTGTTTGTGTGAAAAGATCCACCGTATTGGTGCCGTAGATGAGGAATCGCTCATCCAGGGCGTGGTGATGTTAGCAACGCTCAGCTTGTAATTAAAAGGGATGGTTTCATTTAACACAACGCTAATGGAGTTTTGCATTTCCGTCATTCTGTGCTTTACATCGACTGATTGTGGATTTGATTACAGCTGCGACTCGGCGGGTCGATTACGACGCGTCTCATTTTAGCTTTTGTCCTCGGTTGAGTGCAGGCACCAAGACGATGCCAGGGGAATCTCTATTGACGCAGGGCCTCGAGTCGTTGGGCAGCTCGTCTAAGATCATCCGTAACAAGCTCAACGAGTTGTATGCACGGGACGACGAGCTACAGGCAGCTCACCAACAGGCCAAGCGTGACGACGACTTTGGCGAAGAAGTGGTCACCAAGTACAAGGCGTTCTTGTCTTGCCGCCAGCAACTGATCGCAGAGCTGGAGAAGCAAAAGATTCAAGTGCCGTGGCAGCTACGCATGACCATCGACGACCTTGAGCTGACGGTGAGGGCGCAGCACATGATTTATGGGGACGTGAACGTTACTGACCGCAGTTTGCCATATTCTTGCTATCTGGTACATGTTTCAGTTAAAGCAACGTCGCGAAAAGCAGGAGGGCAGGGCCAGCTCCGGTACGAAGACAAAAGAGAAGGAAGGCGACGCGAAGCCTCCCAAGCAGAATCTTGTGTCAGCCGAAACAGTCCAAACTGCGCAGTCTGGACGAGTCACGGTGGCATTTCTGGGACCCACACTTATCGCACTTGTCATTGCCATGTTGTGGTATCATTACAATACGTAAGGTTACCCACAGACGACGAATGTAGCGGCGAAGAAGTACTTGCTCAAGCCTCAATTACTCCCCCCATTTAAGCACGTTAATAACACTATTTTGCAATTGTATCCGTTATTAGTAAGTGTTAATTACAAGTCATTGTGCTCCAATTACTGTAGCATCTGCCGATGTGCATTACTAGTATTGCACGCAACCTGCTGCGTCCTCGACCTTCCTGCTTCAGGAACAAGTTTTCCATGTCGTCTACAGTATCACCAGCCACATATTCTGCGACTTGCAGTGAAGCTACCGGTGACTTGACGACACTGGGACTGCTTCAACAAGGTGCCCGAGTGCTGGTGGTTGGCGATGGCAACTTCTCCTACTCGCGAGCGTACCTGCGTGCCAACAGCGCTCGCATCGGAGCATCCGAGATAGACGTTACCGTCACATCACTGGACACTAAGAGCCAATTAATGGATATGTATCCAAAGTCTCGCGACATTCTAGACGAGCTACACGATGGCGGAGTTCACGTTCGACATGGTGTGAATGCTACAAAGCTTGAAAGCTACTCGTTTGAAGATAACGAGCCCATTAAATTCGACAGGATCGTGTTTAACTTCCCGCATTATGCAGCGGAAGGAGGCATAGGCAACAAGAACAAGCGCAACAAGATCCATCACCACCGTCAACTTCTCGGTGACTTTTTTGCCAGTGCAAGCCACGTGCTGGCAAGCGACGGTCAAATTTGGGTGACGTTGTGTGCAGGACAGGGAGGCACGAGGCTGGAGAGGAAGACACGAGCAGTGGGAGATACGTGGCAGATTGTTCACTGTGCTGCTGATGCAGGTTTAGTGCTCCAGGACGCCCCGTGGACGCTTTGGCTGAGCTGGGATACTACAGCGTCGGTTATCAATCACGGGAGAAAGCGTTCTGGACAGAAGACGGCATCTCGCATGTATTCCGTCACGAAGCTCCGGGTCGCAAGGCCTGTTTCCCCATCGAGTGGACGCGCGACATGAGTTTCTGGGTCACGGACGAGCAAATGTTCACTGAAGAGCTATTGCATGACGTCGTGCACAAGCATTTCTCTCCTGACACAATGGATGTATCCATCTCATTGCTGGACGAGTATCGATGCGAGAAGAGCGGCCGCAAGTCAGTCACGTACCGTCTCGACATCTCGTCTTCAAGCTTGGCACTATCTCGAGACCGTGTCAATACGTTGGCACAAGCGACGCTCTCGGATATTGGAAGCTCGTCTTTCGGCGCTTTTCGCGCAAAATGATAAAACTACAACATCGAAACCATTAGATATTCACTTTTTAGATGCCACGAACGGCTCTTCTGCCTTATATACTTAACTCTCTCCTCTTTTCGTTCAACTAGATCCCGTGGTATAGCAGCACGTTGGCGGCATTGCCCAGTAAGTGCAGGCCGCAGTGCCAGGCAGACGACACGTTCTGGTTGGGCGCCTTGCGCGCCTGCATGTAGCAGTAGCCAGAGTTGGCCACCACCAACGCATACATCACCTGCACTAACGGGTCCTGGCACACGGCGACGCAGCAGTAGGCGTGGTACAGCGCGGCGCCAAAGACTGCCGTCATGTCGGCTGTACGGCGCCAGCCTGGGACTGGATTGCGCCAGTAGTTGAGCGACGTGAGAAGCACCACGAGCGCAACAAAAGCGCAGCCCCAGAGCTCGCTGCGCACCGCACCGACTACCGAGAAGCATGTGGCGAACGAGGATCGGAACAACCGCGACGAGTAGCGCGGCGGTAGCACGGGCATGGACGAGTGTGAAGGCGACGACAGCGTACTGGTCATTCTGCACGAGGTGTTCCGAAGTGTTTCTTCTTGTCCCTGACGTTTCCGTTTGTCAAATGTGGATTGTCGTGATGCAGCCGAGAGATGGATAACCAGTGTGAGAAAACCGACGCACGCGGCTGACTGGAGCGAATATCACCGTATAAGTAACGTTGCGAGACTGCCAAGATATCAATAAGAGACGGCACTGGAAACAGCTTTCTATTCGAAAGCAAACCTGCGGCGCAGTGATGGTAGGGTGGCGCCAACGTGAAGAAAACCATCAATTATGCAAGTCACGATAAAAAAAAACTAAATGCTCGATGTCCGAAGCAACCAGACTCACGCTTTACTAATTGTATGCGCTTCAATCTGCACCTGTCAGTTCCCCACGGATTTTATTCTCTTCTAGAATCTGTCAACGACATGTACTGAAGGAAATCTCCTTTTCTAGAAACATATCGAAAAGCATATATGGGGATTTGTATGGGACAAGTTGAAGTGCTTCGAAGTTTGAGCTAAGTAAAAACCTTCAGGGATTGGCAGTAATTTGCTTCGCCAGTAAATTAGATAGTATTTTAGAGATAGTAGCGCTTCTATTACTATTATATTGTAGTCAGTACTTTTGTCAAATCTGATTCTACTGTTACTTAGTAACCAGTAGCCCAGGTTACAGCTCCTCCAGTACTGTCGAGTTACTGGCGAGTAAATACCGAAATCCAGACGGGTACCTGACAATCCTCCATTTTGACCACCGCTATGGATCGCGAGTAGGACGCAAGACGGCTTGCTCACTACTCGGCACGCTATCCCTCTCGCTTCTAGCCCTCTTCGTCGCACGATTGCGCGATTGGTTGCTAGATGCAGGACATGAAGTCGTTTTAAGGCCGTGTGCAAGCTCCCCTACTGCTGCTTTGAGCTACGGTTGCTCTTTAAAGGTTGTCTGCTTCAATCCTGGGAAGGCACGTTGCTAAACCACTTCGCAATTTTCTTTGCAGGCCTAACACTAGACTACATCACCTCAACCTAAAATGAAGTGTGCTTTCATCAACTGTGTCAACCCTGGGCTGTCTCAAACGGACCCGTACTCTGTATGCGATAGAGAGGTCCATTACCTGTGCTCTAATGACCTGCACGACCCAGGCAACATATCCGTGGGGTGAGTTACATTGAAATTTATATTGTTAATCGGTTACTAATTTGCTATGTACTACAATAGTTTCTGCTGGAAGACCAAGAACCCGCCACCTGAAGTGATGCCTTCCACGAAGACCTGTTAGACGCTTTCGACGCTGCGGGCTGGTCGCCGGGCACGCCTCACCAGCAGGACAGTCAGCCCTCGATCACCGAGAGCGAGACACTGGACCTGTCCTGCAGCCAGTCGTCGCAAGAGACCACTTCACGGTGTGCGTAGATTCATATGGAATCCCGCTTGACGTCCACCACTACCGTCAGGTCGACAAGCGGGACAACGTGTGGGACGTCGCGCACATTTTTGCGACGCCGTTTGCAGTCGGAGACGACGACGACGCCGAGAGGTTCACGCACATCTGTGCCTTGCGCACGACGAATGCAACCAGACAGCCTAACGCCGCAGCTGACTCATGGCAGTGTGGTCTTCGACGCTGGAGCCATACGTCTAACACCAAGGACCACATGGCCGCCATACACAGCACGCACCGGGTAGGCAAGGCGGAGATGGCGAAGCGCACCATGCGGGATCGTCGCCAAATTGACTCGGTGCTGAGCGATGTCTCTGGATGTCTTTCACAACGCATCACGGACATGCAACCTCCTCAGTCGAAGATGACCAAGCGCGGAGCTATACAGAAACTGTAGAGCACAACCCAAAAGGAGCTCAATGCGCACATTGCGCGCTGGCTGATCAAGGACGGTAAGCCACGTTTTTTAAGTTATGTGGCAAGATGCACTAACAATATCTATCTGTGATGCTTCAGGCCTGCCGTACAACACGGTTGTGACGGATGACTTTCGCAACCTCGTTCATCTACGCACGGGTAACGCGGGCGCTACTATTCTCTCGTCTGGAACTTCTGCAACATACGCGAGGCATTATTCGAGTGGTTTTGCACGATGGCGACGACGATGTTGAAAGATGAGTTTAAGGCTGCGTTTGGCTTGCCCTTCCTAAACGTGCTGCATGACTCATGTACCACTGCCAGCCTCAAGAAAGATGTGGTGGGTACATCGGTCTCCTTCACCACGCGGAATTGTTTTTTTTGCAGGCTTGCGCTGCTAGTGACTGTGCACAACGGCTCGCACGAGTCATGCAAGGTGAAGGCTCTGATCACGTCCAGGATTGAGAAGTTCTACGGCATTTCCATCGAGGGTATGGCTCAGTTCACCATGTCTGACACGACGCCGAGCGCCAAGAAAGTCTCGAAGTTGTTTGATGACTCCACGCCTACCGACTGTGCAATGCACGCTCTAATTCTATGTCTCTTGTACGGCATGGGCATGAGGGAGAATACTGAGACGGTGTACATAGTGGACCCCGAGACCAACCTGCAGAAAAAAGAGCGTAGAGTCTGCACGTTGGATGGCCCGTTCCCCGAAGGGGATGCGCTGATTCGAAAGGCCAGAGGCCTCAACAACCACTTCAATACGCCTCAGAGAGTCGATTGCAGCTCTTCTTCGGTCTTCCGGAGCTGAGCCCAATGGTGGACTGTGATACTCGTGTTGCGTCGTCGGTGATCCGGCGCCAGCGGACGATTGTGGACTTTCCGGCTTTCAGAGCCTACATCCAGCACGGTGAGTCGTACAAGGACTCACAGGTGTTTCACAAGTTCACGGACGTCGACTGGAGGCTGCTGGTTGAGATGGAGGAGATCACGTCGTCCCTGGCTGATCTCGCGTGCATCGAAGTTCAGCGCAGCAACCAAGTTGCGTCTGAACTAATCGTCCTGATGAAGTTCGCTTTCGAACGCCTCGGTACCGACAACTATCAGCTCTACGACGTCGAAGCTCTTTGCACGCCCAAAACTAACGAGTAGTCGCTTCCGCGTCGAGAGGTCCACATCAGCGCATACTTCAAAGAAGGCCAAGTCTGTCTGAAAAAGGGTCAAGGGGCAGATCACCAAGAGGCTGCCGACAATCACAGCATAATCGTTGGTGATACTGCTTCTGGCCCCCGCACAAAGTTCACAGTGGAGAACCTGATTCAACCGGTCTTCCAGGAGAAGAGTCACGGACACTGACGAGAACCTTGCGTTGCCGCTTCCCGCTGAGAGTAGCACCGTGACAATCGACGTTGTCATGGTGGAAGGTTAGGATCGCCTTCGCAACGCACACCGGGAAGTCTTCTGTGTGATGTACACCTCCAATTCGGGAGCCAACAACAGCACGAATGTGAAAATGTCACCGAACCTGGATTTAGTGCCGTCCGTTGAGGACGATCTGATCATGTATGGTTCCACCCTGGTAACCTCGGCTATGAACAGCTCGCCGGTGTCCACCCTTCACGAACAAGCCGACGAAGTCCTGAGAAAGTGGCTGAAGCACACTGTGCAATGGGTCCGCGTCGCCGTCGACCAGGATCTAGACAGCAAGCTCACACCAGAAGACTTCACCCGACTTCTCCTCGTACAACATCAGGACATAGTGTGCTGGCGTCTACAAGGACTCTGCAAGCACATGGACGTCTGCAAGTGGTTTCGTGAGACGGGCTCACCGTTGTTTCCGTCCGTCGCTGCACTTGCTCGGGTGTGGCTCGAACGGAGTCCGTCAAACGCGTACCAGGAGCGCGTGTTTCCGACGGGGGCCTTCGTCATGAGCTCTCTTTGCACCAAATCGGACAACCGCCGTGCTGAGATGCAGGTGCGTATAAGCACAACCGGAGTGAGATCCGTCGGATGGAAGTGGCGGTCGACAGTCAAGGGCTAGATAGTGTGGACCACACACACGATATGCGTAGTTGGTCATAAGCCAGTACTATAGTACTATTACTACAGTAGCTAAGAAGGATTGAACTGATTTACTGTTACTGCCAGTAATTTGAATTGTTTCACTTAAAAGTACTGGCAGTAACTAGAAAGAAAATGCCGCTACTGCAAATACCTGCTTGTAGATAAGTCACATAGAGAGTTATGATATACCGCGGAATCTTAATTGTTAATACCGTATTTGAGATCTCCTATTAATACTTCAGAGTGATCTCCTAATTCAGACTGCCCTCCAACCAATCACATATCGAGAATGGAACAGCGCACAAGTCTAGATCTCCTAATTCAGAGTACAAAAAACGTGCTAAACTGTAAGTATCCACCCAGAAATTCGCAATGGCGCGCACTCCCCTCACGCTCGGCCAACGGAAAGGGAGAACCCGTATTTCTGGCACTGGCAAGCCTCCCAAGAAGTTCAAGCGCGTTGCCATTTCATACGCCTACAAGCTTTCGGTTGTGGAGGGAACCTGATTGGGAGCTGCTACGACGGTTGCTGGAAGAAGTGCCCGTAGTGCGCCATGCTGTGGATACGCGTCACGACAGAAAACTTCGTAGTTCCCGAAGAAGAACTTGATAACTAAATTGTTTTGTTTAAATAATACGTGATAGAGATGCGTCGGTACATGTACAGATCTTGTGTATTTTGCAGCAATACAACCTCAAAAATATTGGGTCTGAAGTAGGAGATCTTAAATACAGTAACGATTATTATCGTAGGTACCGGTACTTTCGGTATCTCTTCAGGACAAAATGTGAAACAGACACAAAAAATGAAACATTTTTACTTGATATTTGTATGGCGGACGACAGCTAAACAGGTCTATTCTGCGCATTTTCCGCATGATTGAGCAAAACCGGTTGCTCTGCTGGAACCAGTCAGTCACAAGCACTTTGCCACACACAAAACGGCCAATTAAGTTCATCTTGCCTCTCATATCAACAAGGAGGAGCGGCTTCTGCGCGCCATGGAAAGCCCCCTAAAAAGACAGTAGTTATACCCCAGGAACCTCTCGATTGCAATCAATTTCGTGGCAGCGTTATTACGGTACTTCAAAGCAA